AGCCTCAACACTGCAATACTCCTGCAGCCTGACTTGCTACATACTCTCCGACGGTTCCTGTCAGGCCAAGACTTTGGCGAGCGGATCCAGGCTTCGCTGCCTCTTCCTCGTCAGGTACGCATCTGATTGGTCGATCGCAGCGTGCGCCTCATCGCGAACATGGATTTGGCCCGGTAACGTCCATGCCAAGCACTGTCAATGCTGTCTACACAGTGGAGAGGCAGCTGTAAGTGTTCGAGACAGGTGGGGGAACAGCGTCGTCGTCACCCTGCCTAGGCGCCTAACCGCCTCAAGGCATCCTCGACATGGCGAAAACGATGCCGGGAATCCATCAAACACTACCAAGTGTGGAACTGCTCCAGATGATCTGTTTGCTTCTAGGGGTAGGTCCTGAGTCTCCTCCATGCCGAAGGAACCGGGCAAGGTACATATATCGCGAAACCCCGAGCCTCATAAGTTCTGCCCACTCTCACATCAAGTCTTCTTCAAACACCTACCTTCTTTTCTTCAAAGTGCCGTGCACTAGTGTTTAATTTTATTGAGCTGAGCTCTTCATTCTCTCTTTTCTCGTCGTAATAACGAAGACTCAAGTTTCATTCCTTTCCTTTTAGATTCACCCAAATCACCCATAATGAAGACGATATACCCCCTTCTCACCCTCCTTTCAGCGGCCGCTGTCGCCGCTGGCCCTCTTCCAAGGAATGTCGACATCCCGTCGAGGGTTGTGGCGCGTACCGAACACATGGGCGAGGCTGCGCCCGCTCCAGCAGTTGACCCTGCTAAGGCAGCCGCCGACGCTATGGAGTCCATGCACGTAGCAGAGGCGGAAGCCAAGGACAAGGCGCACCAGGAAGCTGCTGCAAAGATGGAGGCCGAACATCAAGCCAAGGCTGAAGCAGAGGAGAAGGCTCATCAGGAAGCTGCGGCGAAGATGGAGGCCGAACACCAAGCGAAAGCGGAGGCAGAGGAGAAGGCTCACCAAGAATCTGCCGCTGCTATGGAAGCTATGCACGTGGCCTCCGAGATGGCCAAGGACGCCGCTCACAAGGCCTCTGCAGATGCTATGGAGTCCATGCACGCCGCGTCTGAGAAGGCCAAGGATGCCGCTCACAAGTCTTCTGCGGATGCTATGGAGGCCATGCACGTATCTCAGGAAATGGCCAGTATCTCAGCCGCAGCCACTACCACTGAGGAGGTTGCAGCAACAACTACAGCCGAGGCCATCACTCACGAGACTGTTGCACCGATGACCACGGCTATGGTCGAGCAGCCCCTAGCTCCTATGGTCACTGAACACCCCATGGCACCTCCTGCGGCTGAGATGCCACCACCACCACCTGCGGAGATGCCTGCACCACCGGCTGAGATGCCTCCTGCTGAGATGCCACCGCCACCTGCTGAGATGCCCGCTGAGATGCCTCCACCAGCCGAGATGCCTGCACACGAGACCCAAGCAGCACCCGAGCATACCATGATGCCACCACCACCTGCTGCCGAGATGCCTCCACCAGCTGAGATGCCGCCTCAGGAGACTCAGGCCGCACCAGAGCACACTATGCCTCCTCCCGCTGCCGTCACCGTCGTTCCCGAAGCCCCTGCCGCCGGTAACATTACCATGACCCACGCTGCACCACCTGCACCCATGGTCACTGAGAGTTTCTCTTTGGTAATGGGTGAGGCTGCAAACGCCACTGCTTCTGCCAACATGACCGTTTCCGCCACCGAGACTGCTGCTGAGCCTGCGGCCACCGAGGCACCGGGCGCAGCTGAGGAGGAGAAGAAGAAGATGGAAGAGGAGCAGAAGAAGGCTGAGGAAGAGAAGAAGGCTGCTGAGGAGATGGCAAAGCAACAAGAGGAGGCCGACAAGAAGGCCGCTGAGGAAGAGAAGAAGGCGCAAGAGGAGGCAGACAAGAAGGCTAAGGAAGAGGCCGACAAGGCTGCCAAGGAAGAGGAGAAGAAGGCTGCCGAAGAAGAGAAGAAGGCGGCTGAAGACGCTAAGGCTAAGGAGAAGGCTGACGCTAAAGCTGCTGAGGAAGAGAAGAAGAAGCAGGAAGAAGCTGACAAGAAGGCAGCCGAGGAAGAGAAGAAGCAAGCCAAAGAAGACGCCAAAGCCGCCGAAGAGGACAAGAAGGCACAGGAGGGTCAAGCCGAGCAGCAAGACGGAGCTGAGGCCGACGACAAGGAAGACGCCGCCCAAGAGGACGACAAGAAGGACGAGGGAGACGAGCAGGATGAGGCCGCCGACGCTGAGCCCGTCCCTGCTGAAGAGCAGAACGACGACGCCGCAGCACCAGCCCCAGCGGCAGAGTCTGGCGACGCCGTTGTCGAGTATCCTGCTGGTTTCCTCACCTCATCTCGTCGCCGCGACGAGATCGCCAACATGCCCGTCAAGCGCGGTATGAAGGCTGTTGCGTTCTGAGTTGACTGAACGATCTCCCCCGGGTTGTACCCATGGGTGTGCATCTGGACATGCACGGGTATTAGAACATGTTTGAATATGTAGTGTTTAGAATAGATACAAGAATCGCTCACAGCATCCGCTTCATTGTCTTTGTTCTCGTGTCTACTATTGCTTTCCTTTCTCCGTTGCTTCGTCTCCTGTCCAGCCTCGAATGAACCCAGACAAAACCCCTGACCAATCAGAGATCAGCTGAGGACCTATCTTATGCACTCTTTCTCTCACTTCTTCCTTGCTGACGTGCCTTTGCTTCTTTGATATCCGAAGGGTATCTCAACCCTGTACCTCTGAGGACTAAGCATCCTTCTCGTTGGCTTGGGACGAATGATGGGCCCTTCCATTGAGACTTGTTCCTCAACAGTAGGAGCAGCACGAATCTTTGAGGAAGTATTAGCCCATGCGCTCTTTGTTGGGACAGTTGAGTCCAATTCCGAGCTAGCTTGCTGTGAATGCAAATGTGGAGGCGAAGCTGCGCTTGTCTGCAGGTTTGCTTGCTCTTCAGAAACGATAGCTCTAGTTGTTGGAGCTGAAATCCCCGTATGCTGGGTTTGATCACCACTTGTAACAACGCCCTTGCTCTCTGGGATGCTATTTACATCGCTCTGATGGCCTCCACGTGGAATTTGCTGTTTGCGGGACCCCACAAAGTCCCATAAGCTTGCTGAGGGTCGATCCTGTTGTGGCCGACGATATGTTGACGAAGCTTGCGACGGAGTGGTTAGTGACCGTCCGATCAGCGAAGGTAGCTCTTCCGTAGGCCGGCTTGGGTGTACTGTTCTCGCTAGTCGGTTCCTCACTCTAGGGTCCGGATGAACTGTCGCCATGTCTCGAGCAGACTTTCCTTGGGCGACAGAATCGGGATCTGCACCATGCGCTAGCAATGCTTGAACAATTTGAAAGACATCTTGATGCAGCTCCCTCTTGAGGACGCTTTCTTTACAGGCGTCGACCGAGATAACGCTTTGTAGTGCTGCGTCGAGGTAGCTTGTTTCCTGGAGTTGTAGTCGTCGTCTGGTTTCTAGAAGATGACTGACAACCATAGCGAGCTTTCCAGTTGCAGCGTACTTTATGAATTCTGCAAGGATATATTCTGGAACTTGACTTTTGTCGACTGATGCAGGGGGTAGATGCCGTAGGATGACGTGCTCGTGTTGTATGATTACGTTTGTGGAAAGGGATCGAAAGTGTTGTCCGGAAGCCATTTGGATGAGCTCTCTTATGACTGACGCGCTAAGCTGTTTTGCAGAGTCTAGGGCTTGCAAAAGCAATGAAACGATGTGCTCGTGTCGTTTGTCTATAGCCATAGAGATCATCGTAGGCTTCCCTTCGACTATTGGACTCGCTCCTGCTTCTATGAGCAACTCAACTATGCGTTCATGACCAAAGTATGCTGCCAGCGACAATGGGTAAATGGCCGTAAGTCCAACCCGGATACATCCCAGAACATATAGTCAGCCACTACGTGTACGCTTGCTCCAAAGTCTAGGAGTAGTCCGACCATATTAACGTCGCAGCGCCATGTAGCAAATGCCAGAAGAGTTGAGGTATAGGTACAGTCCAAGGTCCCACAGCCGCCCATGTAGCGGTAATGGGAGAAATACCGATGACAAGAGCGTGTTTCTACATTTGCACCTTTTAGTAACAGGCGTTTCATCAAGCCCTTGCTTCCGGTCCTCCATGCACATTCGAGCAGATTGGCACCGTGTGCGCGCACTTCCTGATCCAGGATAGCGTCCATAATCAGAGAGTAGAATCGAAAGTTCGTCCGTGCAAGTCGGCTTCGATCCCTGTCGGTCAAATACGTCATAATCTCTAAGATAAGCGCATTTGGTAGCTCGGCGAGTCCAGTGAAACGTGGTCGAGAATAGTCGAGGATAAATTCGAGGGCTCGGTGGTTGACTTCACGCAGGTGGCGGAGGTCAGCTGGACTGAGTGGCGCAACGACATCGCGGAGAAGCTCATTTGGAAGACTTAGCAGTCCTTGTGGTGGATGCGCCATGTCGTAGGTATGTGATAGTCCGGCGGAGTTAATGGGGTGATGGGATGGCTTCATGAAGCAGTCCAATGACAGTCGCTTTGGTGGCCAACGGTAGGGGTGCGCGGGAGCTACGACAGCGCGTCCAATGAACAAGACGAGGTATACGAAGTACCCCCGGGCTTACAAGTGATGGTGGAAGAACAGGAGAAATCCCTTTAATACTCCCGCCGTAGACGTTATACGCACGGTGCAGCCCACTCCAGGACTAGCGCTTGAGTTGCCTGCGACAGCGCGCTTTGACCGGACCCTTTCTCGTAACATCCATTCTGCTAGTGAATACATGGTCTCCGCGTTCAGCTTTGCGTTAGATAATAGTACAGTATAGCCCTCAACTCTCTCAGTTGGGGTCTGCGAAGCGATAGACCGATTGCACATTGTAGAGAAAGATCTGAGGCGGAAGGTGTTCAGACGGCACATCTGTGACACATGAGCTAACGATCTAAAGGATGCTCGTGGAGACCTTTTTACTACATGTCACCCAAATTACACGATCTCATGTGCCATCTAGACACGCTCGTCCAATGCCCCGGGTGGCCCACCTGCGACGCCCGCTGGCCCAAACGTACCTCGATGACTCGCACCATCCTTGCCATCATCCACTGCTTCATCGTCATCTCCATCGTCGAATGTGGCTTCTGACATGAAAGGACTCTTTTTACGGATCTCGCGGCCCTTCAGAAGTAGCACCACCGGCACAAGACTCAATGCTAACCCGACAAAGCCCAGAAGGCTGCCAGCCCAACCGAACCCTAAGTTCTGGAAAAGCGAGTATGAGGCGAAAGGTAGAAAGGCTCCGAACGTGTTACGACCAAGCGATGCGGCTGAAAGTGCAGAGGCAGCGTATTTCTCGTAAGCATCCGTGAGGTAGTTGACCACGCCCATGTAAATGGAGTATATGCCCACACCAACGATGCAAATGCCTATCGCAGGCACGATCCAATGAATCTCTGGTCGACACGTCCATCCATACATGAACAATCCAGCAGTAAAGAGCAAGGAACCAGGGATGCTGGTATATAAGCGACCTTCCGGTATGGGTTTACCTGGCCGTTCCTGGTTCTTGGATGCAGTACGAAGATACATCCAATCCTGCAAGGGATTAATGAGCGTGCCAATGAGCGCTCCAACGGTGATTGCCAGCTGAACAAGACCGGTCTGAAAGGTTCCAAAACCGTAACTAGCGCTGAAGGTCTGGACGACCGAGGAAAAGAACAGGAAGAGGATACCCCAGGCGAAACTGATCCAAAGAGTGAAGAAGGTGACGACAGGCTCGGTGAATAGCATTTTGGTAGGTCGCATGAATGAAACCTTGAGCAAGCTAGCTATCGAGGGCTTCTCGAGCTCTGATTCTGCGTAGACTTCGCGACCGGTTTCTTTGCGAAGCTTCTGGGCGCGCTTTTTGAGGATGACGTCGCCACGAGTTTCCTTGAGGATTATGTAGAACACTGGGATTAGGGCCGCGTTGTAGATGATTTGGATGTAGTAGATCCTGCATATTCGTTAGTCGGGTCAATCAGGTAATGCATATGCTTACCATCGCCAAGGGGATTGTAGTCCAGTGGAAGGATAGCCAAGCTGTACGATTGCGCTACCCACGAAGGGTCCAAGAGCAATACCAGCTACGGACGTGAAGCCGAAAATGGACATTGGCAGACTCCGAGCTTTGTCACCTTTCCATACATCGCTAATGCTGCCGCCCACGATGTTGATGGAAACGGAAGATGCGCCACCGCCGAAGAAACGGGTGACGACCAAGGTTGCAAAGTTATCGGCAAAGGCTGAGCCGAACAGGAACAATTCGAACACGATGTAGGCGACCTGCGCAGGGGTTAGCGATTTGATGGGCTATGCTGCCACCCAAACCTACAAAATATCCAGGCATTCTACCAGTGTTTTCGGTCAAAGGTACGAATAGTAGTGGGAATATAGCAGCACCCATATTCCACGAACACGTCGCCCAGTAAAGGTTTGGAAACGGCTCGTTTTGAACGTTGAATAGTGTTGCCATGTACTCGTTTCCAGCGCCATAAGACCCAGCCGGAAGACCTGTCAAGATGGAGATGAAGCAAACGGTTATTGTCAAGAACCATTTGTACTTGGTTGACCAGTTGAACCTGGTTTCCATCAGCAATTGAGTTCAGGTGGAGTCTCGAGGAACATACGGGTTGTCAGGATCTTGTGGACCGTCCCAAGTGTGGAGTTCGACCTCTTTGCCATCTTTCATGCGGGTTTGCACTTCCTTCTTGCGTCGAGGTAGAGATGCACTTTCTATCATGGATTAGTGAACATGCAATTAGGGTGATTCACTTTGAAGGCGTACCCGTGTTGTCATTGAGCGACGAATGATGTGACATGGTGATGTCGCTTTCAAGACACTAGCCGATCGTGAGTTGAGTGAAAGTTAGAACCGCTGTGGAGGTTGAGCAAACTGAAGGCTATTGCATTGGTAAAATATAGCGGTATGATGAGATCCGGAGTGATCTCATAGTACTTGAGCCGCCGTTTGCTGGCCTTGTGACAAGCGTTCGGCGCTGGGCGGACATCATGCCGTTGGAATGTGTGGAACGCGATGACGTTAGCGTGACCATATCGTGGAACCTACCATTGGCGTGGGAAGATCGCCCGCTAATTGACGTGACTTGAGCAGAGGCCAAGAGGGAACTGGTGGATCTTCTCCATCATCGTCACTCCGTCGTGGCTTCATGGGATAGCACCGGGATCAGCTGGATTGGCGCCCCATCAGACGCCTACAAGGAAGCTATGTTTTGCAAACACTGTTATATACCCTCAGTTGAAGTATACGTATACCATTCTTTTTTCAATTAGTGAGCTACAACGCTTTGTATGCTGCAAACTGCGACACGGCTAACTCTCGAAAAGGGCCTCACGTGATCGCGCGATGAGATGCGCGATGGCTGGGGTCTCAACGTGGCCCGGTAACATGACCCACGCGTGTAGCCACGTCCATAGCGCCCTTGAGGAAGCATCGCCTACGCGCATTGAGGCTTGCTGTGGGCACGATTCTATGCAGCTTCGCTTTCGGGGTATATATTCGGGGCATATCTAGGAACACTGTAAGAAGCACGATGTGCATTCGCATCCTAGAACGAGGTTTCGCCCTACAACGGAGTTAAGAGTCGATATGACCAGATACGCGTCTATCCTCATTGCGGCAAGAATGCGCATCCAGATTACTAGGCACATGTGATGTATAAGCAAGATCGAGCGGTCGGTCTTCGCTGCTTTCGATCGGATTCGATGATGTTCTACAAGATTGGAAACGTAGACGGCGAGCATGAACCTTGGAAGAGCAGCCGAGGTCGGAGCCTGACGATGGATCGCAAATGACTGTAAGCATGCGGTATGGAGTGGATTTTAAGAAACAAAGGATTGAAACGGATTGGCGTGCCGGAATCGAGCAGTAATTGAAAGAAAGACGGTGGTTGGAGGCGGATTGGCAGTGTCGCGTGTTGCCGAGGTTTTGCCATCGGGGCTATCGGAGGAGCTTGGGCGGTGATGATGTCGAGATTCGGAAGGATGCTGAGCAATTCACACGCCGCCACTACAACCTGTCAACCTTCATTGCACCCCACCCAACCCTCTTCTTAGATTCCCTGGTCATACTACGAGTGCCACGTATCCCCACGTGCACTCTTTTCATTCTTTGTATAGTATTAGCACCACCCTCGCCGACATAACGCCATTTCATCATGTTCCACGGACAGAACTTGCCGTGGCGGGCGGCGCTTCGTCAGGCTTCACGATCGAATGCGAGAACTATCACCACTAGAGCCTCGTCGCGCCATCTCCCCGCACAATGCACGGCATCGCTGGTTGCCCGGCAACATCACCGATGTTCCTCGCCGCCCGCGGCGCTCTTCGCATACCGCAGCTTCTCCACAACGTTGGGTAGACGGAAGGAAAATGATACAAAGGCGCCACCAGAGCCGCTGGAGGAGGCCAAGGAGGAAGAAACAGAAGAGTCCAAGAAGCTAAAGGAGCAGAAAAGAGCAGAAGAGCTCGAGGGCAAGAGCGATGCGCCTGAGCCAATACCGCCAAAGGCGAGTTCTGGGCGAGGCAGTGCAGCAGGAGGAAGCGGTTCAGGCGGCGACGGCGGTGGCAAGAAGCGAAAGGGCGCCGAAAGAGCCCTCGTCAAGCCCTCGATACCCGACGTCTACCCGCAAGTCATGGCGATACCGCTCGTCAAGCGTCCGCTGTTCCCGGGATTCTACAAGGCCATCACAATTAGAGATAGAGAGGTCGGACAGGCGATTGCGGACATGGTCAAGCGAGGGCAACCCTACATCGGTGCTTTCATGTTCAAGGACGATGGTGCCGACAAGGACGTCATCCACGATCCCAGCGAGGTGTACGACGTGGGCACATTCTGTCAGGTCACGAGCGCATTCCCCGTGGGTGCCGATGACAACTTTGCCATGACCTGTGTCCTCTACCCGCACCGTCGCATAAAGATGACTGGTCTCAAGTCGCCACCGCAAGCGAAGGAGGAGTCATCTGTGGCTGAAAGCACACTGAGCGAGAGTGCGGATATCCCAGAGCCGGAGGCAGGCGCAACACAGTCCAAGGGCGATGTCGTCGCTAGCTTTGAGGAGGCAACCGAAGAGGCCAAGGCGGCCCAGGGAGCGCTCGTACCCACCATCCTCAAGGGTCGCAATGTCAGCATTGCCGATGTCGAGAACATGGTCGAAGAGCCATTCGATCTGAAGAGCAACAAGACAATCCAGGTGCTGGTCAACGAGATTGTCAACACCTTCAAGGGGGTAGCACTGCTTAATCCGCTGTTCCGTGACCACGTCTCGACCTTCTCTGTTCATACCACCATGAACGTTGGGGAAGACCCTGTCAAACTCGCTGACTTCGCCGCCGCCGTAGCACAAGCTGAGTCGCATGAACTGCAGGATGCGCTTGAAGAGATGGACATTGAGAAGCGTCTCAGCAAGGCCTTGGAAGTGCTCAAGAAAGAGCTTATTAGCGCAGAATTGCAAAAGAAGGTTGCAGACGATGTTAATGCCAGAGTCACCAAGAAGCACCGCGAGTATATGTTGATGGAGCAGATGAAGGGTATCAAGCGCGAGCTCGGTATCGAATCGGACGGAAAGGACAAGCTTATCGAAAAATTCAACGAAAAGGCTAACAAACTGGCTATGCCCGAAGCCGTGCGCAAGGTCTTCGAAGAGGAGATGAGCAAGCTACAGGGTCTGGAGCCCAACGGTTCCGAGTTCAACGTCACTCGTAACTACCTCGACTGGCTCACACAGCTACCCTGGGGTCTGCGCAGCGCCGAAAACTTCGGTATCCAACATGCGCGAGAGGTTTTGGACGAGGATCATCACGGACTGAAAGATGTCAAGGATCGCATTTTGGAGTTCATCGCTGTCGGAAAGTTGCGCGGCACAGTCGAAGGAAAGATTCTGTGTTTGGTCGGTCCACCCGGTGTGGGTAAGACGTCGATTGGAAAGTCGATCGCTCGCGCTCTGAACCGTCAGTACTACCGCTTCAGTGTCGGTGGTATGTACGACGTAGCAGAGATCAAGGGTCATCGAAGGACATACGTTGGTGCGCTACCAGGACGCATCATCCAAGCGCTTAAGAAATGTCAAACAGAGAACCCCCTTGTTCTCATTGACGAAGTCGACAAGATCGGACGCAACAGCAACCACGGCGACCCAGCATCAGCACTTCTCGAGCTGCTAGACCCAGAGCAGAACAACAGCTTCTTGGACCACTATCTGGATGTACCTGTCGATCTTTCAAAGGTTCTATTCGTGTGCACAGCAAACATGGATGAGACGATCCCACAACCATTGCTCGACCGTATGGAAGTGATTCGGCTGTCAGGCTACGTTTCAGACGAGAAGATCGCCATTGCTGAGAAGTACCTGTCTCCCGCAGCTAAGGAGATGAGTGGGCTGAAGGACGCCGATGTCGTTCTCGAGAGCGATGCGATTGTTGAGCTCATCAACAAGTACTGTCGCGAGTCTGGTGTTAGAAATCTGAAGAAGCACATCGAGAAGGTGTACCGCAAGTCAGCGCTGAAGATCGTTACCGATGTAGGCGAAGATGCGCTCCCCGAGGCTGCAGCGCTCACTGAAGAGGGCAAGGCTGCGCAAAAGGAGTCAGACAAGGACAAGAGCGATCTCAAGGAGACACCGGAAAACATTGAGGAGCAGACCACCGAAAAGCCTCGCGTCGCGCTCAAGATCCCAGACTCCGTGCACGTTTCCATCACCAAGGACAACCTGAAGGACTACGTCGGACCCGCCATCTTCACATCAGATCGTCTGTACGACTTTACGCCACCCGGTGTGGCCATGGGCCTGGCATGGACGTCGATGGGCGGTTCAGCGCTCTACATAGAATCGATAGTGCAGAACGCACTCTCAGCATCCTCATCACCCGGTCTGGAGCGCAGTGGATCGCTTCGGGACGTCATGAAGGAGTCGACCAGTGTAGCCTACTCGTTCGCCAAGAGCATCATGGCCCGCGAGTTCCCCAGGAACAAGTTCTTCGAACACGCCAGGATACACCTTCACTGCCCCGAGGGTGGCACACCAAAGGACGGACCGAGCGCTGGTATCACCATGGCGACCAGCATGCTCAGTCTGGCACTTGACAGGAAGATCAGGGATGATGTTGCCATGACTGGTGAGTTGACTCTTACCGGCAAGGTGCTAAGGATTGGTGGACTACGTGAGAAGACTGTTGCTGCACGGAGAGCGGGCGCAAAGACGGTCATTTTCCCACACGACAACATGAGCGATTGGCTTGAGTTGCCTGAGGTATGTTTCCCTACTCTCAATGCAAGCGAGAATGCCTGCTAACACATGACAGAACATCAAAGAGGGCATAGAAGGCCGCCCCGTCCAATGGTACAAGGAAGTCTTCGACATTGTCTTCCCAGATCTCGACAAGGACGTGGCGAACAAGATGTGGGAGAAGGAGCTCAAGGGAAAGAAGGGCGACCGCAAGAAGCGCGAGCAAAAGAAGAAGGAAGAGGAGGAAGAGGAGTCTGGTGAGGACGACGACTGAGCGAGTCTCACTTGGGACGAAATACTTGTACGATAAAGCGAATAGCGTGCTCAGCAGCGCAGCGCATTTTGGGCGTTTTTTTGCATATGCATTGGCCATAGAGCCATAACGATTCGACTGCATTGGTAATGAATGATAACAATTCTCTCTTCTCATAGTGTGGTTTAATGCGTAGCATGCGCGTGAGTGAACGAGGTTCCGATGATGCAAATGGATGATCTCACGTCAACCACAATATGCGGGTTGATAAGAAGGAAGCATATCCAGCATGATCCCTTCTGCCCTCTTCCGCTTTCACAGGCTG